CTTCTGAGAAGCCCCGCCGCCTCCCGAGAAGGCCTCCTCCTCCTCCTCCTCCTCCTCCTCCTCCTCCTCCTCCTCCTCCTCCTCCTCCTCCTCCTCCTCCTCCTCCTCCTAATGCCCCGCCCCTGTCGGTGCGCCGCCGAGGTTGGACTTCGGGCCATGGCTCGGGCCTCCGGCGGCCGTTCGGGACGATCCGCGCACCCCGCGGAAGGCCCTCGGCGAGGCGCAGCCGCTGGAGCGCAGCCCGGGGCCGGAGAGAACCGCCGAGGGCCAACGAGGACGCCCGAAGGCCTGGGGCCTCGAGCGCGAAGTTTCCCCCGTCTCGCTTCCCTTCTCCCCCCCAGGGTCAAGTCGGGCCTGTCCCTCTGCAGGGGGGACATTCAAGCACAGATTTTTAAAAGAAAATAGTCTGGGGACGAGTGTTCGACAGGAGGAGGAGGAGGAGGAGGAGGAGGAGGAGGAGGAGGAGGAGGAGCAGGAGGAGGAGGGGGGGAGGAGGGAGGGGGAGGTGGAGGAGGAGGAGGAGGAGGAGGAGGAGGAGGAGGAGGAGGAGGAGGAGGAGGAGGAGGAGGAGGAGGGGAGGGGGGGGGAGGAGGAGGAGGAGGAGGAGGGGGTGTCTTTTAATGTTCGTCCGAAATCCGCCTGTCGGGGGACACGCCCGACCTGGCCCCGGGGGCTGGTCCCCGGGGGCTGCGGCGGCGGCCCCCCCGGCAGGGGCCCCCTCGCGCGTCGCGTGGGCAAGACCACGGCGCGAGGCTTCCAGGCGCCCTGGTAGACTCACGAGTCGGGCCCGTCCCTCCACAGCAGGGATTCTCCAAAGCAGTCCACAGAAAAAAAGTCCGGGGAGGATTCCTGAGCACCTGCGAATGTTTTTGGCGAATGGTGGGGGGTACGTTGTCTTGCTCCGTCCAGAATCCGCCTGTCGGGGGACAGGCCCGACCTAGCGGTAGCCCCCCTGAGATCCTGGGGCCTCCATTGATTTCGAGCTCGGCGCTCTCGCCTTCTGTCGGGCCCCGGGGCCCTCGCAGATCGGTCCGGCTTGAGAGAAAATCATGCAGAAAGGAGGAGGAGGCGGAGGAAGGGAAGTAGAAGGAGGAGGAGGAGGAGGAGGAGGAGGAGGAGGAGGAAGAGGAGGAGGAGGAGGAGGAGGAGGAGGAGGAGGGGGAGGAGGAGGAGGAGGAGGAGGAGGAGGAGGAGGAGGAGGAGGAGGAGGAGGAGGAGGAGGAGGAGGACGGGGTCCAGGGCTCCCGGCGTGGTTCCGCACGATGTTGCAGCTTCTTTTCGCTGCGCCGGGTCCCAGGGGAGGCCCCTCCGACTCCCCGAGCCGAGGCGGTTCTTCTCGGCGCGGGGCCCCCCGGAAGAGCTCCGACCCCTTCCCCCGGGGCCAGCTTCTCATCCCGAGCCGTCCTGTGGACAGTCCCCAGGCCTCGCGAGGGCTCCCAGGGGCTGGAGAGCGGCCAAGAGCCTCCCGTCTTGCTTTCGGAACGACGCGACCACGTCTGGGCGCACGTCCCGGTCCGACCCTCCCGACTCGATGCGGAGCGGCCTTCCCAGACAGCCGGCGACCCAGAAGCGTCGTGGCGGCTACTTCTGCCAGGAGGGGGAAAAGACGCAGAAACAGTGAATCGTCGATTCCCAGGACAATAGGGGAAAAGATGGACAGTGGGGGGAAAACGGAAATCCAGAAAATATGGAAAACAGAGGGACTCCTGGGAGTTGCGTGTATTTTTTCTAGACGCTTCGCGTATCCCCACCAGCTTGCCTTGCCGCTTTAGGTGAGGCTGCGGCCCGCTGCTTTAGGTGAATTTGTCGCTGCGTGCCCCGCCTTGACTGGACTTGCCGCTGGCGCGCTCGCCCGCGGCCGCTGACTAAAAAGTACCCCCACCAGCTCATTTACGCTCCAACAGCCTGGCAGCCCCAGCAGCCCCAGCAGCTTGCAGTCCCCACCCTCGGCGCTGCTGCACAGCCCCGGCGCAGCCGCTCCCCCCGGCGGTAGGTCCTGCTTAGCTCCGCGCGCGCGCCGGCAATTAGTTCCGCTCGTAGCCCGAGCTGACTTGACTCGCCCTTGGCGCCTTCGCCTGCGGCTGCGACGGCAAAAAGTATCCCCACCAGCCTCCGGACGGCGCGCGGCCCTTCCGCTTGCGCTCGCGAACCAAAAAAGTATCCCCCCAGCCCATCCAGAAACGATGTCCAGGCGAGCTTCAGGAGGGGAAAAAACACACAGACACAATTAATCGGCGATTCCTAGAAAATATTTGAAAATATGGGAAGTGGGGGGGAAGACAGGAACCCAGAAAATATGAGAAAATATGGGGGATATTTTTATTTGTGTGTATTTATTTGTGTGTCCCAGTTTCCCTTCAGAGTTGAGGTAATCAGGGAAGTGCGGGAGCAAAGAGGGGAACGGCCGAACCGTGCGAATGAGGGAGGAGGAGAAGGAGGAGGCTGGATGAATGGATGAGGGAGTGGGGAAAAGGAGGATAAATAAGATGATGATGATGATGATGATGATGATGATGATGATGATGATGATGATGATGATGATGATGATGATGATGATGATGCTGATGCTGATGCTGATGCTGATGCTGATGCTGATGCTGATGCTGATGATGATGATGATGATGATGGATGATGATGATGATGATGATGATGATGATGATGATGATGATGATGATGATGATGATGATGATATGATGGTGATGATGGTGATGATGGTGATGATGGTGATGATGGTGATGATGGTGATGATGGTGATGGTGATGGTGATGGTGATGGTGATGGTGATGGTGATGATGGTGGTGATGATGATGATGATGATGATGATGATGATGATGAGATGAGGATGATGATGATGATGATGATGATGATGATGATGATGATGATGATGATGATGATGATGATGATGATGATGATGATGATGATGATGATGATGATGATGATGATGATGATGATGATGATGATGATGATGATGATGGTGATGGTGATGGTGATGGTGATGGTGATGATGGTGATGATGATGATGAGGAGGAGGAGGAGGAGGAGGAGGAGGAGGAAGGAGGAGCAGGAGGAGGAGGGCAAGCAAAAAGGCCAGAGGTCTCTTGGATGCCTCTCGGAGCCTCTTAGGGTATCTCTTGGGCACTTCTTGGTGGCCTCTTGGGACGTCTTGGGGTCCCTTGGCGATCCTGGGGGGCTCTTGGGCGTCTTGGGTGCCTCGGGGGAGCCTCTTTGGACCGCTTGGGGCCCTCTTGGAGACCTCCGTGGGGCCTCTTGGGGGCCTGTTGGAGCCATCTTGGGGGCATCTTGGGACCTCTTGGGGCCTCTTGGGCGCTTCTTGGGGCCATCTTGGAGGAGATCGGTCAAACAAAAGGGGAGCTTCAATTAGCGCCCCCCCCCAAGAGGCCAAAATGGGGCCCAAACCATACTCAAACCAATATTTTGGCTTCCTCGCCGAGGCCGTGTTGGGCGCTCAAACTACCCGCGACCGGCCCCGTCCAGGTCCAGGGGAGGGGGTAGGGAGAGGGGTGAACCCCTCCCAGAAGGGGAAGAGGAAGGGGTGGAAGAGGAAACACCCTAAACCACCTACGCCCCCCAGACCCCCGACGTCATGATTTTTTCATGACGCGACCCCCCGAGGTCCAGACCCATTCCCCGGGACCGGTTTTTCGTCCTGAGTCGTTTTTTGACGGTCCCGAGGCCCGGCGAGGGCCCCCGGAGGCCGGGAATAGCGAAAAACCTTCCGTCGTGATTTTTTCACGACGCGAGGAGGTCTGGGGGGCTGGTGGGATTTGTGTTCCTCTGGGCCCCTTCATTCCGGCCCGTCGCCTTGCCCGGGCCTCTGCGGGCCGGTCCCCTCGGGGCTCGCCGGCGCCTCCGAGCGGCCCGGGCCGCGAGTCGGGGCGGCCGGCGACGGGGATCCTGTGGTGGCCCCAGGCTTCCAACCCAGACCTCCTCGCGTCGTGAAAAAATCACGACGGGAGGTTTTTCGCTATTTTCGGCCTCCGGGGGCCCTCGCCGGGCCTCGGGACCGTCAAAAAACGACTCAGGACGAAAAACCGGTCCCGGGGAATAGGTCGGGACTTCTGGGGGTCGCGTCATGAAAAAATCATGACGTCGGGGGTCTGGGAAGCTGGGCGCTCTCGCCTTTTGTCGGGCCCTTAAGGGGCCCCGACCAGGACGATCCGGCTTGAAAAGTGACGCAGGCGTGCAGACGGGGTCCAGGGCTCCGGGCGCGATTGCTTTGCGAGGTTGCCGATTTGTTCGCTGCGTCGGAGTCCGGGCGGGACTTTTCGCGAGGCTGCAGTTTTTTTTTTTGCGCTGCGTCGGATCTCAGGGTCTGACGCTTGGAAACAAAAAAGCAAGACGGAGACTTTTCGACGTTTTCGGCCTCTGGGGGCCCTCGCCGTCGCCGGGCCCCAGAACTGCCAGAAAACGATCGAGAGGACGAAATCCCGGCCGGCTCGCGTCAGGTCTGGCCTTCCGGGGCCCGCCGTCGATGCCGGGCCCGGATCGGGTCTGTCAGCGCAAGCGACTCGGGTCGAGAGCCTGGGCGGACGGCAGCGAGGGGGCAATCGAGTGCGGGGATCCCAGACCTCCTCGAGTCATGAAAAATTCACGACGGGAGGTTTTTCGCTATTTTCGGCCTCTGAGGGACCTTACCGGGCCTCGGGACCGTCAAAAAACGACTCGGGATGAAGAACCGGTCCCGGGGAATGGGTCTGGACCTCTGGGGGTCGCGTCATGAAAAAATCATGACGTCGGAGGTCTGGGATCGAGGACCCCAGATCCCCTCGGCTTGTGACAGAACCACGACGGAAGGTTCTCCGCCGCCATCTTTGCAGCTCCTGGGGGCGGGGGGGCCCTGACTGGCCTTCGGGTTGCAGAGCTGGTCCCTGGAACTGGGTCGAGACCTCTGGGGATCGACCTCATGGACAAACAATTCATGACGTCGGGGTTCTTGGACTGCAGGGACGGGGCCCGGGCCCCGAAGGGCCCGCCCACCGAGCCGCCGCCGCGGGCTCCCGGGATGCACAAGCTGCAGCGCGCTCCCGGGGGGCAGTGCGAGCGCGAGCTTCTGCATGGCGTGGTGCTCCGCCGGTTTGGGCCCACCGCGCCCCGGTGTGGCACGCCAGCTGCTGCCCCGCCTCCCGGCACCAACGTCCGCGCAGCGGAGCGACGCGCTGTCCCCTCGCAGGGCAAGTCGCGTGGCGCAGGGGCCGCTGGAGCGGCGCGCCGTGCAAGAGGTCCCCAGTGGGAGAACATGGCGGGGTCGAGGATTTTGCGGGAGGGTGGCCCCCAAGAGGGCCCCCATGGACGTGACGCGCCACCACGGCCCCCGAGGTGCACGAGACACGCGCGCGTCTCTTCCGCCCCAGGCTGCTGCCCCCCCCCCCGTTCCCGCGAGCGAGCACCCGAGAGAGGTCCGGGGGCCCACGCGCGTGGAACAAGTGGAAGCGGCGGGTGGGCGGGCTCCACGGCGGCCAGGGGGGGGGGGGAATGCTAGAAGCCCGCCCGCCGTCTGGGGAGGCCCCTTCAGCAGGCGGGCTGGCTTTGCAGGCGGGACGCTGAAGCGAGGACCGCGTTGGGCTCAAGAGGGGTTCCGCTTCGCGGGCTGTCCGTCGGAGGCAGCTCCCGGAGCCGGGTCGTGGCCGAGAGAGGCCCGCCGTGCCCAGAAGCGCCCGCTCGCTCGTTCCCCCAGTGCTCGCAGCGGGCCAGCTCGCGAGCGCCCGACGCGCACATGTCCTGCTCCGGTGGAGTGGATCGCAGAGCCCCCGCGGCGGGTCCGGGCCATGCTTGCGAGCAGCTGCCGGTCGTGGCACGCGCATGCCTATCACGCTGTGTGGTGCCACGGTGGCTGCAGGCCGCCCCGCCCTGCCTCCCTCGGCGGCCGCCCCCCCTCGCGCCACCCCCTCCCTGCGCGCCGCCAAGAGGCCGTGGCGCGCGCGGCGGGGTCCCACCCGCGGCTCCTGGAGCTCCACGTGGACTACAACGGCATCGGCGAGCAGGCCCCGACTGTCGACCTCTTCGACGCCGTCGCCGTCGCCGTCGTCGTCGGTGGCTGCGGCGGCTGCGGCGGTAGCGGCGGCGTCGGCGTCGGCGTCGTCGGCGACGTCGCCGTCGCCGACGTCGTCGCCGCCACCGCGAGGGTGCGGCCGCGCTGCTGCGGGCGCTCGCCGCCAACGCGGCCCTCGCCAGCCTGTGGTCCCACGGCAACGCCTTCGGCGAGGGCGCCGCGGCGCTGCTGGGCGCCGCGCTGCAGGGCAGGTCTGCGCCTGCCGCGCCTGCGCACAGGCCTGCGCCGGCGCCGGGGCAGGGCGGCGGTGCTGCGGCGGCGCCGGGCGGTTGCGGGGCGCAGATCTTAGGCGCGTTCTGCTGGAGAGAGAGAGTCCTTTGAGGCATGAGCTGCTGTTCTCCCCTGTCTATTTGGCGTGCGTGCACCACTGCTGATTAACCTCAAGAAGGAATTCAGGCCCCCCGCCCCGTCTGGCAAAAGGATGACGCTTCCCGCACCGAACCTTAGGTGCGTTATGCTTGAGAGAGTCCTTTGAAGCATGAGTTGCTGTTCTTCCCTGTCCGTTAACGTTCACCGCTGCTTAGTGCTGGTCGCCAGTAAGCCCAATTAAGCGCTAATCTCTACAGAAAGGCGCCAAGGGGCGCTGATAGGTGCTACTAGGGACATCGATGGACACTGAAAGGCGCTAATCGAACGGAACCTGTCTTTGAATCGCTCTCATACCTGATACACATAACGGATCTCCAGCGTTATGATTGTTTTTCGATCTTGCTGCTCTTGGCCCCCCCCCGTCGACTTTTTCGTCGGTCCGCAGCGGTTTCCCAGCCTCGGGATGCCTTCCAGCAGCTGCGTCTCGCCGAGAGGCGTCCGGGGGTGCCTGGATCGTCCCAAACGGCCGTTGGAGGCTCAAGTCTTGACCCAGAGGCATGACTTCGGATGTGCTGCACCTTTGAGCTTCCGGGTCGGGCAGGAACTTCCGCGCCACTTTCTATTCTCTCTTGATTTAGATTTCCGCCCAATTTTGCCGTCGCTGCTTCTGTGAAGTATGACAGACAGACAAGCCATACACCAGGCGGTGCGTGGGCGTGAGCACAGGTGGAAAAAACAGCGCACTCTTATTCGGACAGCAGGGCGGGCCGACAAAGAAACGCGGGCAAGGCAAGGAAGCGGGGCCGAAGGGAAAGCGAGGAGCCGAGGAGCGAGCGGGGGAGAGGGCGAGGGAGGACGACAGGAAAGGACAGACTGGGCCGACGGACGGACAGACGAGGAGACGGGGAAAGGAGGGGAAACCAAGCGAGGAGACGGAGGGGGAACACACAAGACACAAGGCAAGGAAACACAAGGGCAAGGGGAGAGGACGTGGAGAGGGAGAGGAGGGAGAAGGAGCGAGAGCCGGAGACGGGACAAGGCAGGAAGAAGGGACACACAGGACCAGCTGGCCGGGCGCACACGTGGCACTAATGGAAAACGTGCTGTCGGCATCGGCGCTCCCAGACCGCCGGGGTGCAGGCTGCCTGCGCCGCTGCTGTCATGCTGCCGAAGATGCACGCTGCGTGCTTGGACATTTCGGGAACGAGCTCCTGGTGCGGGCGGCCCACTCGCCTCGCGTACCTCTCCGTGGCCGGCCTCATGCCGGCGGCGAAAGAACAGGCGTAGAGCGGATGAGCAGGATCGGCGCGAAGCACTTGGCCGAAAAGTTGTAGCTGTCTGAACAGTACATGCGTGCTGGCCGCCTCATATCCTGCTCTCGTAAGGACATCCCGGTTGGAAATGCGCGATAGGTACGACGGCTTCACTCCGATGATCGCGCGCAAGCATCTGTTTTGAAATCCGTCGAGACGACGCAGCTGCGTTTTCGTGAAGCACGCGCTGCTGAGCCCGCAGCTTCGATTCGACGATGGAAGCATACATGCGGAGCTTGCGGTTCCAAGTCAGAGACGAATGGGACCACACCTTGCGCAGAGCCGTGAACGATCGTCTGTGAAGTATACCTCTGCGAATCTATCCGCCCGAGTTGTTCTAAGGCGGAAGTTCGCGCTATTCCCGGCACACTTTTCGGCCGGGGAACCACACAACGCACGGCGCATCCGAAGTCGGACTCGGAGGCCATTCTCGGGCCCCGGGGCCATCCATCGTGGACCCGTGGCGACAGGCTGCCCCCTGGGGGGAGGGGTCGGGGCCTGTAGGACCGCGGGCTGAACACAAAAAGCGTCCGCGAGTGCATGCGCTACGAGGTGTCAGCCGAGGGAGCACAGCGATGGATGTACCACCACAGGCCAAAGTGGCCCGACGGGCGGGCTCACCCCGCCCGCCTTCCAGAGCATGAGACGTGTGTGCGGGGGGGGGGTGTAAAACCCGCTCCGACGACAAAAAAACGTCCTGGCGGCTGTCAGGGGACGCCGGCGGGGACACGGTGGACTTCGGCTGCCAGGCGGGCTCGTGCAGGTTCTGGGAGTCCTGGATGAGCCAGGCAGTGGAGAAGCGCCCTGACCTGCCTGTAGGCCCACCAGAGAATGTTCGGGGAACCTCCCGTGGTTGGCACGACATGTTTTTCGGAACACTTCTGGCTGAGAGCGTCTTGTTTTAAAATGCATCGGGCTTCATCATGTTCTAGGAGCAGTGCTTTTGTAATGAGAAGGTTGTAGTTCTGGTTGATCCCAAGGGGGGTCCAGCGAAAAGAGGGTGGTGTAATATACCCGATGCAATAGAGAGCGCGGGGTTGCAATCGACTTGGGGGTGCAGTGCATTCCGGTGCGCCAATGTATGGCTGGATTCTCGCGTGCAATACACTGGCCGCAATACAATGCAACATAGATATCACATATATTTGTGCTAAGAACATGTCGTGGCGGGCTTATAGGGATGCCAGGGCGATCGGCAGCTCAGAGGAGGAGAGGGCGCCAAGCCCAGAGTGCCCTCCGGAGCCCGCGCGGATCCTTGCACGGCCGGCGCTGGGCACCACTCCCCACCGAACCTCGAACGTGGTCCTACTCCTCCTCCTCCTCCTCCGCCTCCTCCGCCTCCTCCTCCTCCTTCTCCTCCTCCTCCTCCTCCTCCTCCTCCTCCTCCTCCTCCTCCAGCCGTCCCAGGCCCAGGCGGGTCTTGCTGCTTCGAACTTTGGGACGGCATTGAAGTAGCGAGCCAACTGGCTCCCCCTCGGCCCAGTTCCGACACGTCTCTGCCATGGGCCTCGGCGGCGGAGGCAAAGGTGGCGCTGGACCCTGGGGCGCGGCCCCTCTCGCAGGTGGCGGCTGTGGCGGCGGCCGCGGCGCTGCCGCAGGCGGAGGAGGGAAGGGCAAAGGAGCTGCAGGCGACCCTCCTTGGTCGCAGGGCCGTGGCGCCGCGGGCACAGCGCCCTGGCAGTCCCGACGCCCCCCCTCCCGCCGTGCCGAGCGAGAGCTCAAATGGCGTTGTGCATGGTGCAACTGTGCGCGCAACCTGGACCACATGGTGTACTGCAAGCACTGCGGCGAGTGCCAGGGCGCTGATGCGGCGCTCGGGGGTGGCTCGGCGCGAAGGCGTCCTTCGGCCCCTCCTCGGCCGCTTGCTCTGCCTGATCGCCCTGCTGCTGGCACTGCCGACGACCCCAGCCTGTCTGAGGACGAGCTCGAGCACCTCGTGCGCCTCGCAGAGAAGGCTGGTGATGCACACGTCGCAGGTCGCTACAAGCAGCAGCTCCAGAATAAGAAGGCTGGAGACCCTCCCTTGCAGCAGCGCATCTCTGACTGTGGGGCCAAGGTTGCTGAACTTGAGAGTGTCTTGCACAAGGAAGTGCAGAAGCTCGAGCAGTACCAGCAGTGGGCCGCCCAGCAGCTCATCACAGTCACCGAGCTCACTGAAATATTGTCCTTGGCAGATAATGAGTACAAGACCGCGGTCTCTGCTCTCGTGGGGGTGTCGCCGCAGCGGGCGAGTTCCCCCCCAGCGACCCACGCACGGCTGTCTATCAAAGAGGTGGTGGACGGCACGTGCAACATCGCTGACCTCATCGACGTGGACTCGTACTTTGACGTGGAGGGCTACGAGTGCACCGACGACGACCGCAAGCACATCATCGAGAGGCGCGACCAGCTGCGCGAGCAGCTGCAGGAGGTCGCCAAGGGCCTCTTCTCGGGCGCTGTGGAGAAGCTCGAGTCCATCAAGAAGGACCACGCTGACCACCTCGCCCGCCTCACCAAGAAGCGTAAGGGCCCGACTGGTGACGGTATCGCTACAGGTGGTACTGCCGCTGTGCCCGCAGGAGGCGCAGCCGCGGCAGGGGGCGGAGGCAAGTCGCAGGCTGCTGACGCCAACGTGGAGCCAGCCGACAGGGACAAGCAGGTTGCCTTCGTCTCGGAGCGCCCTCCTACGCGCTCGCCAGCTGCCAGGACCGCCCGTTCGTCATCCATCCGTGAGCGTGCGGCGGCCTCCATCAAGGCTGCAGCGTCCACTGGTGGCCCCCCTGCCGCGCTTGAGTCAGGCGCAACAGCTTGATCGTGGCAGGGGGGCTCTCATTCATTTTAATGCAGGTCAGCGCGGTGGCAACCTCGACCCGTGGAGAGTGCGTGGGCACACCAAGGTTGAGGATTCCATCGGCTGCGCCCTGGCTTGTGCCAATACCCGCCTGACCCACTCCTCGTCGTCGGCGCTGGCCGCCCGAGCGAGCATCAGGGTCAGCAGGCAAAGTGGTCTTTCTTCGGCCCACTCCCCGCGCCCGTCTCGGGGCCCTGGCCCGTCTTCCCAGCCTAGGCTTTTGGAGTCCCTGGCCCAGACATCTGGCAACTTTAGTGGGGCGGCGTGGGCGTGTGCCGAACCCGCCCGTGATTTTTTAGTGCCCCCTCCACCCCCTGGAGAAGCTCAATTTTCCCTGAAAGTTGAGACCCTGAATTGCGCTGCCTGGTCGCCCCTGCAGAGATGGCCACCGCACTGCACGTCGCACGTCATCCTGCTGCAGGAGCATCACCTTCGTCAAGGGGATGAAGCTGATCGTGTTTCTTCTTGGGCCAAGGTCCACGGGTGGCAAATCCTTCTCACTCCTGCCCTCTCTACCCCCTCTGGGGGTACGTCGGCTGGTGTTGGCATTATGGTTCGTAGTTTCCTCGGTCTCCGTCCGCCCTCAGGTGGGCACGTTTTGATCCCACACAGGGCGGTAGGTGCTATCATCAACATTCCAGGTGGCGACTCGGTCTATGTCTCCAGTCTGTATTTGCACCACTCGCAGGGGCTCAGCGATTCGAACGTCAGCCTCTTGTCGCACGTGGCGGCGGCTTTGGAAGTTTGGGCAGGACCATGCATTCTTGGGGCTGATTTCGACATGGAACCATCGGTTTTCCAGGAGTCTGAGTTTGCGAGATCCTGTGGGGGCAGAGTTGTGGTTCCTGAGGCCGCTTCTGGATCTTGTCTTTCTACTGGAGGGTTTCGACTGCTGGACTATTTTGTGGTTTCCAGTGGGCTGTCCAAGGGGCTGTCGAAGGTGTCTGTTGAACGCGACGCGTGCGCGTCACCACGATCGCCTGTCTCTCTGGAGTTTTACCCGCAGCTGGCGCAGCTATATGGTCTGAAGTTCTGCCGTCCCCCGCCCATCCCTGTGGGCCCCATTGTTGGACCTCCGCCGCAGCCTCCCAATTGGGAACAAGCTCGGGCTCTGGGCCAACAACTCTTGGGTGCCGTCGAGTCTGGGAAGTCTCTGCCTGTCCAGAAGCTGTTAGATGCGGTGTATTCTTCCTGGGCTAATTTGACTGAGCGGGAGTTGGCCAACTCAAGAGGCGCCCAGCTCCCGTGTCTTGGATCGAGGGCCAAGGCCCCGCAGATGTACTGGGCGCTTGTGTTGGAGCAGGACAGGAAGCCTCCAGCGCGCCAGCCTTTATACTATGCTATCAAGTGGCTACATCTGCAGTTTCGAATGTACATCTCCCTTCACAGCGAGGCTTCCGACACCGGCGTGCAGCGCCAGGCTGGCGATCTTCGTTCAATTATTTGTGCACCTCCGTCGTTCTTGAGAGGAGGCTTGCTGCATCACCAGCGCTGGCATGATGAAGTGCGCGCAGCTGTGGAGCAGCCTTTCAACCAGGTGAAGTGCGAATCGATCTGTGCGAATTTAGATGCGGCAGTGTCGGCTGCTGAGGCGATTGCTCAGCAGGAGGCCCTTGCAGGTTGGAAGCAGTGGCTTTTAGATCAAGTTGAAGCAGGGGCGAAGCGTGCCCACTCTGTTGTTCGTGGCTTCACACCGTGGGCTCCCACTACGGCTTTGTTGTCGAATGGCGTCGTCGCGGCTGACCCCCAGGCTCTCCTCGACGCTCAGGCTGCGCAGTATTCGGAGTTGTGGCACGCTCGCACTTGCACGCCTCAGGTCACGGACACTTTCCAGCCTCTACCTTCGCTTCCTCGACTCTCCCCCGAAGATCTTCGGGCTTGTAGTCGCAAGTTTTCGAAAGGCACGGCTACGTCTATCGACGGTTTCCACGTGCGCCACTTCGCGTCGATGTCGGACGAATCCCTCGATCTCCATTCGGTCATCTACTCTGCCATGGAAGTAAGCAGCCTCGTTCCCAAGCAGGCGGCAGTTACCATTATGTCTCCCATTGGCAAGCAGGCAGGAGGTTTTCGGCCGATTGGCCTCTTCTCCTCTATCTACCGTCTTTGGGGGAAGGGGATGAGAGGTTATGCCGCAAGATGGGAGGAAGATAATCGACGGCCGTTTTTTGCAGCTGGCAAGTTCACCTCATCTACTGATGTGGTGTGGCGGCAGTCGGTGAAGGGAGAGGTTGCAGTCAATGATGGTAAGGTCTCGGCTATTTTGTTGTGGGACCTGGTGAAATGTTTTGAGTCTATCAACCACGACCTCCTCCTCCACCGATGTGCACAATATGGTTTCGATATGTCTGTTGCGAGGTTAGTGGTAGCCATGTATCGCAACGCTCGTTTCATCACCATGGGACAGATTTTGCGAGGCCCCTTTTTTTACGTGGTGAACGGTGTTGTTGCAGGATGCCTTTTTGCCACGACGATGGTCAGGTTATTTATCATAGGGCCCCTCGACTCGGCAGGAATCCCGAAGACAGTTTCGCTCGACGTGTACATCGATGATTACGGAGTGTCGACGGTCGGTACTTTTTTCAGAAGTTATATATGACCTGTCCGAGGCGGCCACCTCCCTGCACGATGCCATTGTGAATGACATCAGGGGCAGCATTTCACATGAGAAGGCCAACCTTGTGGCATCTCATCGGCACGTTGCTGTTGCTCTCCGTGAGCGACTGGGAGCTCTTGCTGGCAAGCGGGTTGTTTCTTCTGCAGCGAACTTTGGGATCGATCACACCTCGGGACGGCCCCGTCGGGCCCCGAATCGGCCGAAGGTTTTCAAGCTTCGTATGCTCACGTTGAAGCACAAGACTAAACGGTTGCAGAAGATACGACAGGCTATAGGTAGGCACTCCAGGAAGCTGTTTGTCACTGGGCCCCTGCCA